GTCAGGTACTTCCTAGAGGCCACAGTTCTGTGTTGTATAGCCCGTCTATGAGGTTAGCTACAAGTAATAATGGATTTCTACAGCTCTCCACATCAAGTGAAGGAAGAGGGAGAGAATAGAGATAAAAGATAGATAGATAGATAGATAGATAGATAGATAGATAGATAGATACTGCTGGATGGATAGAATGACAGATGGATATACTATAGAAAGACCAGTGACAAAGCACAATATCCTTTTTCTTATATATTTTTTATTATTTATACATATCAACATAATAGAAACATTTGCACATCTTCATATCTGTGATGTAGGAGTGTCTTCTATCTATCTGTTGTGCAGTTCCTTCTATATATCTGTATATGTTTATTGACATAGATGGACTGTATGAGGAGGAATTATTAGAGCAAATTTTATTTTTTCAAAATTTTTCTGAGATTTGGCAAAATCCTCCTTCTGAAGAGCTTCCATTCATATGTTACATCCAAAGTAGTATAATAGAAAGTTTACCTCATCATTTTCTTTGGCACTGTAACAATCAGTCATGATCCAGTTTATCATTACTTTAAATAACCAAGAGTCTTCCTTCACACGCATTGTACCTACTTCAGGTTTCATGGTATGGTGTAAGATTCCATTTGGAGCAGGACAGAGCAGTAATCCAAAATGTGTGCCCTGGAAATTTGTTTTGGTTTCTTGAAACCTGACACCAAATATGTCCTGATACCACATCCTTAAGGATGCCACTGGATGTTCTCTGAATGTAACAACTGTTAAATGAAAATATATAGCCCTAGACTAATGAATTTTTATATTCTAGTCCATGTCAACTGTGGCAGATTCAATATCTATCTCAAGAATAGTAAGTCCATATGAATTCGAATCTTTGTATCAATCCAGTGTTTGTAGATTTTGATTAGCTGAATAACTAGGGTTCACATGAGTTGGTAGCTTTCGTGATCACAAGAAAGAAAAAAGACAAAGATCTACATATGTGGTGAACTGAAATGTGTGACACCATATCAGTTGCCATGAATGAGAAATAGAGGTCTTTTTTCACTCATATGAGAGAAATATGGTTTCAGGGTACTTTCTACATACCTTAAATCTTCTTTCTGAGCAATAAAAAAGTAGTGGAGAAAAACCAGATTTGGTTTTAATGCATATTAATAAATTAGGCCATACCAAAATCAGGTCAACTCAATAATTGCTATTAACTTGCCAAGCAAAGCCTATTTATCAGTTTTTAGGCAGGAACCAAAGCGGGAATGTTCAAGCTGCCACTGGTCATGGCACTAAGTCAGGTAGCTACAACCGTGACACCTGCTGGCAAATAAAAATTATTACAGCTACAACAATTTATGAAATTTCTTAAGGAATGTAACTGAATTAATATATTTGAAAGTTATATGATTATAGATAATATAAACATTCAGGACTCTAATAACCATTTTGCTTACACTGTGGATGGTATTCTGCAAGGTGTCTGTGATTTTTCTTACACATTCATTAATATTATTCTGGGATTTAGTTTTTTTTTCAGATTATACTCTTAAAAATTGTTTGATAACAGAGACAAGAATGAATAAATTTAAAAATGATACAGTCCTTACAGATGAATAATGACGAGCAAGCTGAAAAAATTAATATCTTTGAAAATGATAACAATAATTTTAGAGACAAATTTTAATCTATGGCAAATGGCGAAGGGAAATTATCTGAAAAAATTCATACTGTTGAATTTAATAATCAAAATAGGTTAAAAAATTGTGATAGATTAACAAATAGGGTATCTCTCCAGGAAGGCAATCTGCACGCCATCCAAATAATGTCCAAGGATGAGATGTTATCTTTACTGGAAAAAAAAAAACATACCTTGGAATCATATGTGGAGAAGAAGGACCAGAAGCTAAGTTACTCAAGGAAGGCACTAAAACTATACACAGGAAAAGAAATTCAGACTTCACAAACAGCAGTGGTAAAAACATTTGAAATAATGGAGAAAGTTATCATTACTGATGAGCAGGGAGAGAAGGTACAAGGACAGTACATAACAATATATGTCAGAGTCAGGGATGACTCATCCAAGAGTCTAGCTAGGTATCCTGCAGTCTCCCCTGACAAGCCATCCAGTACCAAATGCACAAAAGGTTTCAAAGGATGTAAATGGCAACCTATAAGTATGAATGTTCTACAGGAAATTAAGCAAGCAATAGTATCCTATGCCTTGCATTCTTCATTTGTTAGGGAAATGGTAAAAAAGGTGGACTTCAAGCAAAAAGGATATCACATAAAATTGACTCCAATTAGTCTCAGAAGTTCTTGAAGACAGACCCAAGCAATTATGGAAATGCTATTGGCAAAAAAGGCAAACATTTCAGAACAATAGGGAAAAACAAAAGAATTTGAAGCTTCCCAAAAGCAAATTCTTGGCGAGGGCTATTAAAAGGATCCACAGGATTGGGATATATGTGATGAAAACAGTTTGTCCCTATGTCACACAACGGCCTTATATGTTTGGGACAGGATTCAAGAACTAAGAAAAATAATTGGATAGTATACCCGGAATAAAAGGGGACTGAGAGACCCTTTTCATGACTTTTAAGAAAGGTTAAATAAGGCTGTACAAATAGCAGTAACAGATTCAGAAGCTAGATAACTACTTATTAAATCTTTGGCATTTGAAGATGCAAACTAATAAGGCAAAAATGTACTTGGACCTTTAATGATCAGATCAGCACCAGAAAATAAATGGATCCTACATACAGTGAATGTTGAAACATTTGACTATAATACTAAGGTTTGGGTAGGAAAAGCAATTTCCAAAGGCATGAGGAGACACCAAAATGCTAAGTATTTTAATTGTAGTAAAATAAGATACCTGAGAAGCAATTGTAGGCAAGGAATTCCTAGAAATAATGTCTCCCCTAGAGATGGCAAAATTAGAAGGTCTCTATCTCCGGGATTATGTAGATGAGGTGGCAAAACCAACATTGGATCAATGATTGTAGATTGAGAAAGACGGACAAAACAATCTTGTACCATTGGGAAACTCCTTGGGGGCCTCATGCAGGTCTCCATGTCAAACATGTTTGAGTCTTTCCCATTCATTGTAGAGAAAATATCCCACCAAGAAAATTAAAAATCTAGTGGCTGCTGTAAACAACCATACTGTTCTGGATGATAGACTAGTCATGGAGGATGGATTAAAAAGAACTCCATTAGGAAATAGGAAATGCATATGTTGGCAAACTTCCTCCAATTAACAAAGACCAAATTAAAGAGTTCTTATACATAGCATTGCAATTGAGGGATTACTGAACACAGGTGCAGACATGACTATTGTTACTTCAGAATCTTGGCATCCGAATTGACCTCTTCAAGAGACAGATGTTCAATTCCTAGGAATTGGAACCCTGTATCTAGTGAAACAAAGCATGAGATGGGTTGAATGCACGGGGCCAGAGGACAGTGAGAAAGGCTGAGGCCATATGTGGTTAAGATCACAGTGAATTTATGAGGACATGACCCGTTGAATGTTCTGACCTATCAGGCCAAGGAGTTTTCTTTATTAATTAACCAATGAAAGCAACAGATAGATAGAAGACCCACCTACATCAGTGTGTGATTTCTTTCTGGGTCTCCCAATATTGGAGTCTGCTAGGAGCAAAGAGTGGTGTGTTTAAATAGAGTTCTCTTGCCTTGTCTACCATTTATGAAACTGCTGATCCTGGACTAGCCAAGGGTCAGACCTTCAACATGTCCATCTTCTTTGGGAGTGTCTCTTCTTTGTATAGCAACAACATCTACTACACACACTCTGCTTTCCAAGCCTTAGGGCTATGCAGCTGCTCCCATGTTCCACCTTCTCCAGAGTTTATGTTTCGGGCTCTGCCTACTTACCAAGTTGATGAGAGGCCCCTGAACACTTTGAAGAGTGGGGAAGGGGAGCAAAGAGAGGACTGAGATCTGAGCAGGAGGCTCAGGCTCTGTGTTTTCATAAGTCACCCCTCAGTGAACACTCAGTGGGAGGAAGGGGGCTATGGAAAACAAGCGTTCCAATGGGTCTGAGTTTCTGTTTTCCATCCTGCCGGTAGTGAAATGCATGGCAGAAAGGTACCTCTAGAAGTCAAACTTCTGCCGACCTCGGGTGACAGTAACAGTTCCTTACACTTACATTTGAGGGCTGGTCTAGAAATCACCATTCCCCTTAGCACCCTAATCGGATGCCAACCTGACAGCATCAGCATGTCCATATCTGCTTTCCCCTTCTCTGTAATAGTGCCTATATCTATCTCCCAATCGAGGGCTATAGCAGGGTATCTTCAGGCTCCCTGAATTAATCCTTGTTCTCTTGACACCAGAGTAGCAAAGGTCAACCCCTTGGTTCCTTCTCATGATGGCACCTAGCCACTGTGATTGGGGAAGGGCACAATGAACATCCTGTGTGATGCCAACGTATCATGAAGCAGTCACTATCTCACTAAATTTCCCAGCGTGATGCCAGCCTTGCAAGAAGATTGGGTTTGTCCTACGAGTAGGTCTACCAGTCACTCTTCCCCAAGCCCACCTGGTACGCTTTGTCTGAATCATCTGCTTTCTAAATAGGACTTCTTGAGTCCTCTGGAGTAGCTGAGAAAGGGGACCTGAAATACATTCAATAGATAATTTGGGGTGACTTTAAGAAAAGTCATCTTGAGTGGATTTCTGTCACTGCTAGGTAACAATGGGGAAGATAATGGTTGCTGGAGCTACGTCTCAGAATGTGCAGGCGCTGGGCTAGAGGCATGTCTCTCCCAGGCATTCTGAGGCGGGCTAGAGTGCAGGAGGCAGGCAGGCGGCAGAGCTCAGGCAGCCTCTGGGGCAAAGGAGGCGGCAGAGCCCAGCCAGTCCCCTCCAGGCCGGACCACCGAAGCCTAGTGAAGAAACCTGAAGGTCCAGTTGATTGGATTTCAGTACTATGTCATAACAGACAGATAATCGTCCACTTGATCATCAAGATGGAAAACTCAGATTCTAGCGATCAAGGAAATGACCAATCTGAAGCACAGCGCAGAAGGCAAGGGGATCGCTTGAATCGGGAAGAAGCTTTCTATGGATTTGTCAATAATCTGAGCGGAGAAGACTCTCGACTTCTGAGAGACAACCATTTGCTAGGCACCCCAGGTCAAAGTACTGGGGAGGAGCTCTATAGAAGACTTCAGCAAAAAACAGTGGCCGGTGCTGCCACCTCTGCCTCCGCCGCCGCCGCAGAGCTCAGAAGAAAACGGAGACTCTTCAGATGACAAGTCCAATGGTGACTCCATAATAGATTGCCTTAGCTCTGTCAGACAGACTGGCAATACAACAAGAAGTGGTCAGAGAGGTAATCAGTCCGTGAGGGCAGTGAGCCACACTAATCCAAACAGTCGTGATTTCAGATTCAGTTTAGAGACCAAAGTTAACCGTAATAATGGAAGCCAAACTTCAGAGAATGAAAATGAACCATCTGCTACACGTCTTAGTTTAGAAAACATGGATCGCAGTATCCTCAGTCAAATGGAAAGTACAGCATCTGAGACATCATCTGCCAGAACACCTAGGTCAGAACACAGTTCTGCTGAAGCATTAACAGATGTGCCATCCACCAGAGGTCGGAGGAGGGCAAGAAGCCGGAAACCAGAACACCAGCGAAGAACCAGAGCCAGAGCTGAAAGAAGTAGTTCTTCTCTGCCCCCAGCAAATGAAATTCCACGAAGATCTCATCATAGCATCTCATCTCAGACTTTTGAGCTGCCTTTGGTAAACGAGATCGAGGGAAGTTCTAGAGCCCCTCACCAGATAACTAGCCCTGAGTTGCTAGGTAGAGGTCGTTTTGTGGCTTCTGGGTCAAGAAATTCTGCTGCTCAAGGGACAAGCTCTTCAGACACAGATGCCAATGGTGAAGCGGCAGGATCTGGTCAAAGACCTCCAACCAGAGACCTTCAAGTCAGAAGAGTTCTGCTGGCAGAAGACCGGCAGAGAGATAGCGCAGCTAGCAGAACTCTGTCGAGGTCTCAGATCCCAAACAACACGGTCACTTATGAAAGTGAACCTGGAGGTTTTCTAGGCACTTCTACACATTCTGAACGTGCAGCTGGGTCAACCTCTATGAGTACTCACAGCTTTTCCACTCTTTCAATCTTCAATACTGGATCAAGGGAAACTACATCTCCTCCAATTCAACCCAGGTTCAGGCAGAGAACAACACCTTTTGGTGAGCTTGCATGGAGTGGTAACAACTCTGCTTCCATCCCCAGCTACAACCCTGGCCCCATTTCCATCGATGAATATTCAGAAAGTATCTCACAGATGTTTCAAGGAGGTGTTGAAGCAACCCAACTTTACCCCTTTAATGACAACCACCTAATGAGAAGACCCACCAATGTCCAGATTAATAACTTGGCAACGAGAAGTTTTGCTGAAAACGATGCATTGAAGACATGCACTGTCTGCATGACTCAATATACAGAAGGCGACAGAATTTGTGAGCTACCTTGCTCCCATGAGTACCATGTCCCCTGCATCGAACGCTGGTTTTGGGAGCATAACACCTGTCCCGTTTGTCGCACTGTTGTCTTATCTTCCTGGAGCAGACGAAGGGTTATATAATGAGGACAGAACACTCGAAGCTGTGTTGCTAAAATAGTGACCGGCAAATGGAAATCGCTTCCTTTATCTCCATGTTTTGCATGGCGCTTTAACATAAAGTCACATCCTGAATCGAGTCATTGCTTTCTGAGGGAATCGTGTCTTTTTTCTAGTTTCTCTTTCAGGATAGAAAGAATATTTCAGACGCTACGTGCATGTGGACACTTTTGAATAGCACTCCTATCTCTTGAGATCTGTAGGATGAATACAAGTATTTTTAGTGGGAGTTGCTTTTTTATTTGACCAAGTCCATGACTATTACATATTACTAGTGTTGCAGACATTAAAGATAAGGTTGTTCGTATAGGTGTCAGGTGTCCAAAGTATTCTCTCTCAACCTTTGTAACAGGCAGAGAGCGCACGTGTGAGGGTGTCTGCTCTTCCCCTTCAGTACAGTTCATTATGTTTATGATCAATAACAGTGTTGTCATTGAGTTACCTAGTATATGGTTCTTTTCAGAAAACTGTTTTGAAATGTACATTGCTGTATCATGCTTAACTTGGCAAGGTCTGAGGAAAGAGTATCTCAAAGTCACAGTTTAAGCAAATATAAACAGCTGTGACCTCAAAAAAAAAACCAGAAAACTTACCTTGATACTTAGATCCATTAAATAACGTAAGATCATTGGTTTCAGTAACTGAAGCTAAATAAGCTGTTTCCAGCAATGCCTGTATAGCAATGTTGAGAAAAACCAGAATTTATATTAAGGATTCCAGGAGGCCAAGCTGTTTCTGGCTCATGAATACATCATGGAAAAACATTGTTCCTCTTTTCAGACCAAACTTTCTAGTTACTCAGGAAGATTGATAAGACATAAGTGGTAGACATTGAAGAGTGTCACAAAGAAAGCAGACATTAAAGAATCAGTGAAGTTGAGAATAAAAAAGGGGTTGTCGGATGATTTCAACCCAAGTGAGGATCTTGCCATGAGAGTGTAAATTGGAGAGGAGGTGAGTGGGACAAATTGAGTTTGTTTGAGTCTTATAATTGTGTGTGTAGGAGTTTCTCAGAGTGTTTGATCTCCAAAGGCACCTGGATCACCAATGTAGTTATGGGAACCAATTGATAGTGATTATTAAGTGTAGTCATGAGTTTCCAAGATTTAAATGGGTTAAAATGCTTTCTATTATACAATGCACCTTGAAACCAAGGGTCCCTTCTATCTTCCCATTGGTCTTGGTTATACATTTGGAGTGTGTTGACAATAGTGGTTTGGAGAAGTCAGAATTCCAATGACTGTCTGGTGTCATCTGCCCACTGTGTGATGCCAGTACTTGGCCAATAGATTTTGGAAATGCAATTGGGACATCTTTTGTAATTGGGAAGATCTCATAATTTTGGGAAGATTAAGCAGGTGGAGGGTCATTCATTGTGTTTCGATGAAATAGAGCAGGACTGAATAAGAATTGTTACAGGAATACTGCACCCAGTTTTGAGACAGGAAGCTTTACAGATAACACAGGTAGAATCCTTTTTTGGCTTCTAAGATTTCCATGGCCTGAATTTCTAGACATAATCTGACATATTAAGGTTGAAGAGAAGCATGAGAAGACATAATATTCATCTTGTTCAAAGATAGAGGCAATGGGGATTTAAAAGTAATTAAGGGCACAAGGACCATAGGGATGAGAAAGTAAAGGAGGGTCTTAGAGAGTGTTAGTGAATGAGGAAGGCGAGGGGGATTGAAAAGGTTTTGAATGAGACAGATGTACCCAATTTGAGATTTTCCAGAGTCTAACTTCAGTCAGTCATAAATACCATAGTATAGGTTACTTGCCATTTGAGTTGCATAGGCAGAAGTGGTTTCTTAAGGCTTGCAAGGAGAATCTTTTCTGTCTACACAGAAAAAAAAATGCAGGATTTGTGAATGACCTGAGAAGTAAGCTGTTAGTATGTGTTCATATGAACCATTGGATTTCCTGCAGGAGGGGGGAGTTAATTAGAGATGGAATGGGTAAGGGATATAGTCCCAGAAAAAGAAGGGGTCTCCCAAACATAAATTCAAATGGAGAATGATTGATGGGTTTTAGCTAGAGAGATAAATTTAATACAATTGAAAAGAAGGTTCACAGTAAATTTGTTAAGTATTTTTTAGGGTTCTACAGGTGTGTTATACCTTATGAGAAAACATTAAAATTATGGATATGGGATGGGAAAATACCAGGGCATTTACAAAGTTTAGTTCAGGCCCTGGGTAATCTGAGAGGTGAATTCTGGACTCTATGGAAGTAAGCAGTTCAAAGAAAGACACTATGTAATAGAGTAGAAGAATAATTACTGTGAATAAGTCAATCCAGCAAGAGTATTTGTCAATTCAGACTAAAAAATATTAATAACATTTTATAATGGGCAATTGCCCTAAGTCATTTTGCCAATCACAGCCAGGAAACAGTCACTGGGTATGGTGAGTTGGAAACAGGGGATTATATATTGGAGGTCTATTTAGCACCCTCTATACATTGTAGTTTTAGGATATATTATGTACAAAGGTCCTATCTACTGTAATGAGAGTCAGGTGGGTTTGGAGAAAGGATAGAATGGATTTGGTATTAGGGCAAAATATGTGATAATATTAGTGAATGATGTGTCGAAGGAGGGCTATGTATGTTTTTATCTGGGTCATGCAGTTGTGTACCTTGGAGGGAAGTAGGGTGAGCTATAAGGGATCAAAGGGCAGCTTGAGAGCTCCTATGTCAGCACAGGTATTACATTTACTACAGTGGAGTGGACAGTCTGATGTGCTTTAAAATGAAGAAAGCCAATTTGAGAGGGTAAGAGAGAAACCTTCAGGAATTTATGACTATATGAACAGTTAGTGATATAATTGTCTTTTGTCTTCATAAATACTGTTACCTTCCTGATATCCAAGTGTGTTAAGAGAATGGGATAAGCATATTTAGGGTCTGTGTACACTGTTGACACATATTTCGGACAATTTGGATGTCTCTGGTTAGGGATACCTATTCTGCCTGCTGATGTGTCTTTTGTGGACATATGGAAGCTGCCTGATGACATCAACTGAGAGACTACTGCATATCCCATAAACATGGTGAGCATCTCAGAGCAAGGAACTGCCATTTCTTTAAAAAGTAAAATCAGAAATAGATAGAAGAATCCCTTATATATGGAACGATGTGGGAGGAGAACTTCAAGGTTCTCATTGGAGGAGTGAAGAGCATCTGAAGAATGTTGATGCAAAGGGAATAAGTTCAAATGTGTTAATGGGGTACAAATAAGAATTATGAGTTATTTTTTATAAAAGAAGTTTGGTGATATATAATTGAGATAGCAGAAGGGATTGGAGTCCTTTGTAATTAAGGAGAGAGAGAGAGAGAGAGAGAGAGAGAGAGAGAGAGAGGAAGATATGTTGTAATGGAGTTCCCTTAGTTAATGTTTTAGATTCACAGAGAAGGTTTGAAGCAGCCAGCCATGAATTGTATTGTTCAGAGTTTTGGAGAGGTAAGCAACAAGGACAAAGAAAGGCCAAAAACGTATTCGAAGACCCCATGTTTATAACCTTGTTTTCAGAAGTGTAGAGATGTAAAGGTCTGTATAGATTTGGGGAACAGAGTTCCAGGGCAGAGAGGAGAACACTTTTTTAAGTCTAAGGAACTGTTTTTTTTTTTTATGAGAAAAAGTGGCTCATGAGGAGATTTAGAAGTGTTTGAGGACATGCAAGTGAAAGTCCAGTGACATGAATGGAGGAAGTTGGGCCAACCTTAATAAAAAAATAAAAGCAACTGAGATTTTGTTGAAGGTAGAGATAGGGAATAGAGGTAAGCATGGTGGTTCTGAGTGAGGTGTTTATTGGTTGGTGTAAAAGAGATTCCTAGGCTTGTGGTGGGGTAGGGGAGAGAGGAGCTTTGAAAAGTGAGTTTTGTATTCTCTAGAGCTAGGAAATTGATGAGAGAGGCAGTGTCAAATTGACTGTCAATAAATGAAGGACTGTAAAGGAGAACATGTTCCTACTGAAGCTGACAGGAGGAAAAGGGGAAAGGCAGTCCAGCTGCTTGGCAAGGGCCTACTTTAAGAGGTGGGGGCTATCTACAAATCACTAGAGAAAGACAATTGTTGGGATTATTGAGTATTAGAGTCTGCTTATATGAAGGCAGGTGGATCTTGATAATTGATATCTAACGGAATTAAGAAAAAAATCATCTTTAAATTCTAGGACCAAGAAGTGAGTAGTGTAGCCAGAGATAATAAGGATAGTATAAAGAATAGAAATCACAGGATTCAGTGGAGCAATGGCAGCATTATTAATGGAAAAAATTCCAGAACCATGAGAAAGTTCTGGTCTTTCACGGCCAATATGGGGGTAATTTATGGTGAAGAGTTGAAATGTTGAAACAGCTTGGATAAAAGAGATTAAATAAAAGGTTTGAGGCTTCAGAGCCTGGTTACAGTTAGGGGGTGTTGGCATTTGGAGATACAGGCAGAGGGTCAATGAAAGTAATAAAGTGGAAAATGATTTATAGCAAGAAAAGGAGAGTAGTAATCTATTAAGTGGGACTGACAAAATAAGAAGGCAGAGGACAGGAGAGATTTTATGATTCCTTGGAGAGAGAGAGTACAAATGGAGGCAGAAGAAAGGGGTAAAGAGTTTTAGAGGTGTCTTAGGAGCTGTTGCCAGGGTCAAAGACAAAATTCATGCCATGTTTGAAGAGAATCTCTCTCCCTAGTAATGAAAAAGCATGTGAGGGTATAAGGGAAAGATGAGTGAGAAAAGGAAAAGCCTTTGAAGGAACTAGTTATAGAATAAGATCTGAATAGGTATGGAAAACCAGCCCTTCCCCCTGACTATTCAGGGGGTACAGGGATGAGCAGGACTCCAGAATTTCATCAAGACTAAAAGAGTGATATTGATATCCAGAAGGAACATAATAAGGAGACCTAACACAAGATTTGAGACTCAAAGCTCCCAGAGAGTGATTGTTGTCAGTTTAGTGAGGTCCATAGT